GGGCCGGCGTCCCGGGCCGCGCGGGGAGCGCCCGGGCTGAGGTGGTCGCGGGTGCTTTTGTAGCCCCTGGAAGCCGCCGTGGCTGGGGCCCGGTGCCAGCTCCGAGGTCTCCCGACCGGGACCGCACGCGTAGGCGCCGGTGTCTCACTGCATGCCAGCCCTCCTCTCCCACAGGGTGCTAATAAATCTTTCTCCCGCTCCTGTGAAGCAGTAGCCTGTCTGCCTTCTGGTGTCTCTAATTACTTTCTCATAAATTGCTAAGTTTTCTCATTCTTGGTTCTGCAAGCCTCTCCTTCAGACCTTCCCATGCCACATCCCACGCGCTCGGCATGTTTCTGAATGCAGTACTAATGGTGTGCCATGGCCTCGGGACTGTGGCTGAAGCTGAACTTCTTGTCGCTTTCTTCATCTTTTTGGTTATTTCTCTCTTCTCACATGCATCAATGTCATATTTAAATGCCATGGCTTTTTCTTCCTCGGCATCTCAGCATCTTCGCACCAAAATATCAGATTTAGGTTTGTACAGTATCTTCTTTTGGCTATTGCAGTGCTGTCTTTTCTGTCATTTTGCATTGGATTCTTTGATTCAAAATGATGATTGATTTTCTGTGCTGTCTAGTTACAGTAAAATGTGTGTAGTCTTTGAATTCCATCACTTGTCCATAATTTTAATTTATGTTGTTTTTAATTTCCTGGGTCCTGTAGCCTCTTGCACATTAAACTGTCCTTCTGTTGAATGATTACCACTCTGCCATTTTCATGGCCACTTTTTTGGTGTTAGACTAGTTTAGATTGCTCCAACTTATTCTTTCTAACCTTTATCTGCCTTTCTGCTAACTATCCAAAGCCAGAACATCTGTGTGTACTGAAAGAGAGGGGAGGGAAGGAAGAGGTTAGGTAATACCTAGCTTGTTACAGAGGCCATGAAAGAACTGCTGACCGGTGATTAGGTCTTCCTCATTCTTTAATGTTGTATGCAAGTGTAATTAGAACACTGTTTATTTAACTTCATCCTCAAAGCTTTCAGTCTTAAAACGCTGATAAAATTTTTAACATTTCTGTCATTCTTTTAGTACCACAAATTCAGGTAAACTAGTTGGTAATTAGTTTTGTTTTGTAGTTGTAGTAAGTTTCATAGCTTAAAACTGACATGCTTTGACCTCCCTGTTCTCTTTCAGTGCCTGTTTGCAGTCCCTTCTTTTGGTGGGGGGGGCTTTTTGCCACCTGGTCACTTTGTAAGGATCAATTATTTGGTACTGAAGTGGATTTTTAAGAATCTCCGGAAATCTTGGCAAATTACAAATTTGGATTAGATTGTTAGTACATTTGAAGTCTAAATTTTATTTCTTCTTATTCTGTATAAACTTTTACGTTATTATTCTTACAATGTCAGAGTTCCTTTCAGCTTCTCATTAAACGATAATTAACTTGTCACATGATCATTCTCATTTTCTCCCTAGAAGAAAAGCTCTCTCATCTTCAGTGACCTGTTTTGTTGAGAGTTTACACGCTAATTTTATGCATCAAAGAGACATTTCAAATAATGCAATTTTCATTCCTGATTCTGCACTTTATTCAGTCAACTGAAATTATTGAGGTCTTTGCTGTCATTCTTGTCACTGGATGGCTCTCTCTTAAGTTCCAGGTTAAAGCCTTAGTTGTGTGTTACATGTGGGGGTTTTGTTTTGCATATATAATGCGCTCTATTGTAAAAAATGAAAATAACAAACCTTACATGCAAATATCTTTAGTGCTGTGAGAATGTTTTAAAGTGTGTAAAGAATTAACTCTTCTTACACTATTAGAACTCTTCAGTTTGAAATTTAAAAATTTTCAAATTATTTTAGAATAGAGCATAGAATGTTTTGGGTTGGAAGGGACCCCTAGAGGTCATCTAGCCCAATCCCCCTGCAGGAGCAGGGACACCGCTAACCAGATCAGGTTGCTCAGAGCCCCGTCCAACCTGGCCTTGAATGCTTCCAGGGATGGGGCCTCCACTACCTCTCTGGGCAACCTGTTCCAGTGTTTCACTACCCTCACTGTAAAGAATTTCTTCCTTATATCCAGTCTAAACCTACCCCAGTTTAGTTTAAA